ATTTTATTGAATTTGCCATTTATCGGAACCTCTAACGATTGGGCTGTGTTGTGATCTGATAAACCAAGATGGAGTATTTTACAGGAAGCATCAGGTAGCACTCATGAATCACTCAGAATGGTAAACATTTACGTGAATAGCAAAACAAGTTTTTTCTTTTTAGGGTTCCGTAGTCCTGACAAGGAACCCTTATAGTTTCGATATGTCTGTCTGTCTGTCTGTCTGTCCGAGGTTTGCTTGGAAACTGTTAGCACTGGAGAGCTGTAATTTTGTAGAGGTATGTATATTAATCACGCCAACAAAACGGTAGAATAAAATATTAAAAAAAATTTTTTTAGGGTAGCTCCCCTACATACAGGGTGGAAACGTTAAGTGATCTCACTCGATTATTTCTAAACTATACAAGATATTGAAAAACTGATTACTGATTCTGAAAGTGCTTCACAAGCTCTTTCAAACGGTACCAATAATAGGTTACAGAATAAACTGGATCTATCCGAAAATTCAATGTTTCCACCTTTCATACATTTAGTAAAACCACATAATATTAAAAACTATGCAAGATATTAAAAAACTGGTTACTGATCTTGAAAGTGCTTTACAATCTCTATCCAACGGTATCAATAAAAGGTTACAAATTAAATTGGATCCATTCGAAAATTCAATGTTTCTAGTTTCTAGCTTCCATACATTTAGTACAGCCACAGTCATGGCACTCATGTCTTGTTAATATTATAGCAAGTAAAGCCTAAAACCAATGTTTTCCACGAATAATTTTAAATAAGAATGCAATTTGCGAGTTAAATTTAAGTGTTTATTATTTAATTAAAAAAATTAATACTTCTTTTATTGTTTGGCTGGCATACATTTAGTATGGAGGCTGAAAACATTAAATTTTCGGATAGATCCAGTTAATTCTGTAACCTAATATTGGTACTGTTGAATAGAGCTCGTGAAGCACTTTCAGGATTAGTAACCAGTTTTTCGATATCTTGTATAGTTTAGAAATAATCGAATGAGATCACTTATCGTTTCCACCCTGTATAAAGAAGGGATGATTTTTTCATTTTCTAACCCATCGTGGGGGGTATCGTTGGATAGGTCTTTTAAAATGGCTTAGGGGTTTCTAAGACTATTTTTCCACTTAGGGATCTGTTTGCAAATTATTAAAGTTTAAAGTGCCAATTTTTGTTCGAGTAGGGCGTCCCCCCCCTCTAAAAACTAAACCGTTGGCTTGAAAAATCTGGAAAAAATTGTAATAATAGGTACTGATTTTCATGAATTTTCAAGGAAAACTATAAGAGTAGGCGCACACCGTTGATTTTTAATCGGCCGATAGTTTAGTCGGGCAGTTGATCAGTATGGGCATGTATGGGAGTGCGCACACTACGCCGATTCGATTTGGCCGATTCTTCATACAAATTAAAATCGGGCACAACTATCGGCCAACTAAAAATCAACGGTGTGCGCCTACTCGAACGGTTAAGATACATTAGTTAGTTTAAGAGTAATAGCACAGAATAATAATAAGTACTACGTACAGAAGTTTTACTTCGCGAAGGTATTTCAAAAAATGTATGCTCAATGTCATTAACAATATGGTGTAATTTAGCCTGTCTCAACAGTCAAGCACCATTTTGTTGACAAACGTCAGTGATCGGCACTGCGCCGAAGCTATAGGGCTGACTTCGGTAAAATGATGTGACGGGAGGTGCCAAACTGCGGAAAATGGCCGAGGAAATACATGATTTAGCAAGAATTATCATGAATAGTATTAAAGAACTACTTATTTACTTCTCAGTGTCTTGAGGCAACTTAAAAAAGTACAGTCTGTGTTTTTATTATTATTTAGGCAGTTAAATACTGCACAGTATTTAGTACACCATTTTATTTATTTTCTTCCATCATACACAAGAATACGCGTGCGTGAGTCAATGTTCGCTCGTATGTGAGGCCTTGTCGAATAGTATCCTGTAGGCGGGCCATCGTGCGTGTTTTGTTTTCGATGTAAACTCGCGGAGATGAACAGGCCTGGTAATAGTACAGAATAATAACAAGTACTACGTACAGAAGATTTTCTTCGCAAAGGTTGAATGAAGAATGTATGCTTAATATCGTTAACAATATGGTATAATTTAGCTTGTCTCAATAGTTGAGCACCATTTTGTTGACAAACGTCAGTGTTCGGTACTCCGCCGAAGGAATAGGGCTGACTTCAGTAAAATGATGTGTGACGTGAAGTGCCAAACTGCGGAAAATGATGGAGTAAATACATGATTAAGCATGTGATATTTTGTGTTTTTATTCAGGCAGTTAAAAAATACTGCACAGTATTAATTACACCACCGTTTTTACATATAGTTTATTGTCTTTACAATGCAAATGGGTGAAGAATACACGTGCGTCCGTCAATATTCGCTCGTGATTGTCCTGTCGATTAGGTACCTCAGTACGCCTAAGATGCGCGTCGTGATAACTTTTATCGACGTCAAAATGTATGGGCAAAATTGATAAAATGGAGTGATAACCGCTTATCACAGCGCGCATCTTAGGCCTACAGGAGGGGTCGTCGCGCGTGTTTTGTTTTCGATGCAAACTCGCGGAGATGAACAGACCTGGTAATAGTCATTTAACTCATGTATTATAAAATTTCATACCTCATAAAAAATCCTTAGAAGAAAATATGAAAAGTGACTTTAGATGAAGGTACTCGTAATTGCTTGCTTTTGAAATATATTGTGGTAAAGACGGACAACTATGGAACCCTACACTGCGCGTGGTACGACACGCACTTGGCCAATTTTTTTATGTTAATTAATAATGAAATTACCTAATTAAAAAAATAAAATTAGTGGAAAAATTAAACAAATGATTATAAACTAAATTGTGTAATTAACTTCTCTAATTAGTATGTATTTATTAGAGTTTATTTGGATTCAATTAATAAATAAAGCCTAATTACCAGTGAAGATGACGTCAATATTATATTTTATGCGCGCGAGTATTGAAAAAAAAAACACATGGTTGACGAATTCAGTTCTCATCTTAAAAACTAAATCACTAATTTCATTGCAGATCAAAATATTGTATCTTAAGTTTAAAGCAGGTTAATCGATATCCAATCGTGACAGTACAAGCTACACTTCCACTATTGTCACATAAAAAAAAAATAGTAGGGCAAGCTATAATTTATTTTTAAGCTTCTTGTTGCTTTATTGTATAAGCCAAGAACTCCAATAAGTCAGCATGTGACGGCTGGTGCACAAGCACATAGGTCGAAATAATATGCATATTATGCACTTTATAATTGCAAGTCAGTCTAAAAGCGATCGAAAAGCCTTTTTTTTATGGATTTTTTGACAGATTCGATTTTCGATTCGTTTTAAAAAGTGCATTTTGTCTTGGGGGGCTAGCGTCATGAGTCGCCTCCAGTGTTGTACACTATTGTAATTTCATAATTTTGTTTTCTTGTTGTAATTATTGTGCAAAGAGATAGTGGCGCACTCTTGTCGATGTATTGTTTAATGTTTTTTTTTTAATTTAAAATGTTGGTTGGAGAGGCCCCCGCTGAAAACCAGCGTCGGGGCACGCGTGCATGCACTCGTGGCTCGATTAATGCCGAGCGGGCGCCTTTTAGTAGGGAATTTAGTGCAATGATTTGTATGGAGACCCCTCCACTTTGGTATAGAAGGCTCATTTTTGCAACAGTGTTTCTTTGGGTGCTCCTGAGTGGATTTCCGTCGGTAGACATCGGGAGCCCCCCCTGTGGTAGCAGGGGGAGGGGGGGCAAGTTTCCTTCCGCCGCGCTTCACTTTAAGGCCCATATCTTCAAAACTATGGGTATTAGGGCAAGTGTGGTATCATTTTCGGATAATTAAAGGATGGCGAATTCATTTCTAGAACAAACTTTTTGCCTTTTCATACAAAAAAATTGAAATATTGAGTAAAATTCACAAAAATCAAAAAGTATTTTTTTTAATAAACGTCGTTTACTTTTAAACCACTGGAGATAATCTAATAAAAAAAATCTGAAGAAAAAATTTTTTTCACCTACTTTTTGCGAAAAAAGTACCATACAATATTATATTTTTATAATTCTGATAAATGTAGCTTTCTGGTCATATTTTTTTTATTAGATTATCTCCAGTGGTTTAAAAGTAAACGACGTTTATTAAAAAAAATACTTTTTGATTTTTGTGAATTTTACTCAATATTTCAATTTTTTTGTATGAAAAGGCAAAAAGTTTGTTCTAGAAATGAATTCGCCATCCTTTAATTATCCGAAAATGATACCACACTTGCCCTAATACCCATAGTTTTGAAGATATGGGCCTTAAAGTGAAGCGCGGCGGAAGGAAACTTGCCCCCCCTCCCCCTGCTACCACAGGGGGGGCTCCCGATGTCTACCGACGGAAATCCACTCAGGAGCACCCAAAGAACCATTGTTGCAAAAATGAGCCTTCTATACCAAAGTGGAGGGGTTCTTGCACTAAATTCCCTACTATTTTTGGCACAAAAATATTCGTGTATGTATAGTTTTATGTCCCTTTGTTCTGTTTTTCATTTTTATTTTTTGTGTCAAATAAAGTTTTTCTTATTCTTATTCTATAATTTTGCTTCTATACTAACAATATACGTAATATAGATAAGTAAGTGAAAGATTTTTTTTGGTCAGCTGGTATTATTGCATAAGTTCATCATGCCATTAACATTGCAATGTGAAAAAAAAAACAATTTCCAGCCTTAATATCAATTCACAGGCTTAATTATAATACTTATAACATATGCGTGTGTAAAAAAGAAAAGCATGTATTTATTTATTTATTTTTGGGAAACATACAGTTACAATATAATTTAACTTAGGTGCAGTAAGAAAACACATAAACCAATTAAGTTTCCACAGTTAAATATACAACGTTAAAGTGGGAACCCTGCTAAATTAGAATGATAAAATGTCCGAAAATCAACACAATTAACAATAAATGCTTATCTTATCTTAACGTATATTAGAAAAACGATATAAACTGTGGCCAACACCGGCTCTAGGAGTGTCTTCACTTTCCACCAACATGGCTAGCTCAGTTGTCTTCGCCGCTGCTCTTTTGGCTGCATTTGGTGAGTAAATGGCAATGCCAGATTTTATATGGAAGGTGGCGTCTTTTTTTTTTCGCGCGGCAATCGACCAAACTTTGTTTTTTGATTACAAAAATAGCGTAATAAACCAAACTTACTATGACATGTATACCTCTAAACTCAGTCTGAACTGAGTTACGAGCGTTAGAAGTTTGATGATTTTACATACTAGATTTGCTTTTTGCGCGCAATTTTTGTAAGAAATTGCAACAAAATATTGCGCTATTTTTTTTTATTGCGCTGATTCTGCTCCACATTGATGTCTGGAGCCTTTAAGTTTAATGGATGGTATTGTTTGTTTACACATACAATGTCACTATTTTGTTGCAATTTCTTACAAAACTTGAGCGCAAAAAACAAATCTAGTATGTAAAATCATCAAACTTCTAACCCTCGTAACTCAGTTCAGACTGAGTTTAGAATAAGAATAAGAAATTTATTCATAACTAGCGGCCGCCCGTGACTTCGTACGCGTGGATCCCGTTTTACCCCCTTCATCTATCTTACGCGGTTTAGATTTTTTCATACAAATGTTTTTTTCGCGCTAACTCCCGTTCCCGTGAGAATTTTGCAATATCCTGTTGTAACTAAGCTTTAAGTTTACTAAGGTACCTGCCTGCCAAATTTCAAGCGTCTACCTTAAGCGGTTCAGATTTTTCATACAAAAGGATTTTCCCGCTAATTCCCGATCCCGTGGGAATTTCGGGAATTACGTGTTGTAACTAAGCTTTAAGTTTACTAAGGTACCTACATGTATTGATGTGCCGTTCCCGAGAACGCTCTCTCAACTGAGAATATTCTCGGGAGCGTTCCCGGGAGCGTTCTCCTAAGTGAGAAAGGTTGAGAATCATGTTTATCAAATGGAAATAAACAAACTTTCTTAAGTAAAATAGTATTAAATTAAGTCAACAGATAAGTGTATATTAAACAATACACTCTATTTGCAGTGAAAGGCTATATTCTCAGTGTTCCCGAGAATATTCTCGGGAACTTTCTCGGCAATATTCTTGGCAACTGCACCTTTATTATATTTTATTTTTTTCGTCGTGAAATGTCGTTTTAATGATATGTAAGATGACAGAAATTTCTTTTTACACGTAATTAAATAATGTATCTGTCCATTTTTTCGTTTTTAACACGCTCTTATTAGGTCGTCGTGTATGTAACTAACTATGTAATGGAATCTTAGAATCTGAATTACACGCACTTCTAAGTATTGTATCATCATGAAACTTGGCAATTATATGTAGATTAGAAATGACAATACAATATTGTGGTACCAGCTGGTCTGATGATGGGACTGGAAGGTGGCCAAAAGAATTTCTAAACGAAACGGCGGAAACTCATCGAGTTTGGATTCATTGGATTTGTCTTTTCGAGCACTTTAATGCTAGATGATGTCCAGGATCCTGATGATTTTTGGCTTTTTAGTGCTGATAGTAACTAAAAGCGTGTTATTAGTTTTTTAAACTATTCTTATTTGACATTAAGGGCATATTTCACAATCGCTTAGTAAGGGCCTGTTTCGCCACTTCTGGATAAGTTGTGGATAGCCTGTCTGACGGATCATTTGACACATTTTTATAGAAAATAAGTGCTAGCTAGATTGATCCGACACTTAGAAGAATGGTAATACTCCTCTTCAAAAAAAGTGACAAAACCTTGTTGAAGAATTATAGACCCATTTCGCTTCTGAGCCATGTCTACAAGCTGTTTTCGATAGTCATTACGAATTGTCACGTTAGCAGGCTCGACAACTTTCAGCCCCCCGAACAAGCCAGTTTCCGAAAAGGCTTTAGTAACTACCATATACCATAATAATATACGCAACTGCAGATTATACGGAAGATCAAGGAGTATAATCAGCCACTTTGCGTTTGTGAACTATGAGAAAGCCTTCGATTCGTTTGAAACATGGGCAGTGCTTCAGTCTCTTCAATTGTGCCAAATTGACTATTGATACATTAAAGAGTTGAAAGGCTTGTACAAACACGCCACAGTGACAGTCCGTTTTAAGATCAGGACCCGAAAACTATCCAGTTGCAGCGAGGGATGAGACAGGGAGACGTCATCACCACCGCCCTGGAAGATGTTTTCAAGCTTCTGGGCTGGAGCGGATTCAGCATAAATATCAACGGCGAGTAGATCACCCACCACCCTTGGTGTTTCTTTGCGAGATCGAATCAGAAATGAGGAGATCCGTAAACAACCCAAAGTCGCTGACATAGCCCGACGGATTAGCAAGCTGAAGTGGCAATGGGCAGGGAACATAGTACGCAGAACTGACGGTCGATGGGGCAGAAAGGTTCTGGAATGGAGGCCGCGTACCGGAAAACACACCGTGGAACGTCCACCTACAAGGTGGACCGACGACATCGTAAAGGTAGCAGAGAAGCGCTGGATGCAGGCCGCTACCAATCGATCAACATGGAAAGCATTGGGGGAGGCCTATGTTCAGCAGTGGACGTCCTATGGCTGAAATGATGATGATGATGAGTACATCACCCAGACATCAGACGATATCGTAGTCATGGCTGAGATCGTGGAAGATCTAGGCACAATGCTCGATGGTCTCAACAGAGTCTCTCAACAAGTGGGTCTCAAAATGAACATGGACAAGATTTAAAAATCATGTCTAAAGACCGTGTTGCACCCACTCCTCTATAAGTTGGAGACTCTACACTCGAGGTTGTTGACAATAATAGTCAATCATCGAATCCAGCTCGGCTGGGCAGTCTTTGGGAAGCTTTACGATATTTTCACGCGGCTTCTCCGTCGCGTCGCCACTCCGCTTTAAATCCACTTTGAATCCGCTTGCAATCTGCCAGGGTGGCAAGGGCCTTAAAACTCAGAGGCACACTGATGTTCATATACCGTAGCCGAGTCCTAAAGCGGCGGTGCGCGTTCGCTACGAAAAGAGTGAGCAAGACAGCAATATCTCACTCACACGTTTCATGCCTTGTTTACGACTAGTCTTAACGCCCAGTTAATAAAACATCGAAACATTACAGATAATATCACATATAAACAACAAAATTAAAATTAAAACTAAATGCATTCAGTCGAGAACACTGAGAATATTCTCGGGAGCGTTCTCGGTTCTCGAGAATATTCTCACTGGGAATATTGCCGGGAACGAGAACTTTCTCAGCGGCACATCTCTACCTACATGCCACATTTCAAGCGTCTAACTTAAGCGGTTTAGATTTTTCATACAAAAGGATTTTCCCGCTAATTCCTGTTCCCGTGGGAATTCCTAAGTATAATATAACCTGTCCAGGAGTATGAAGAATAATTGTACCAAGTTTCGTTAAAATCCGTCGAGTAGTTTTTGTTTCTATAAGGAACATACAGACGGACAGACAGACAGACAGACAGACAGACAGACAGACAGACAGACAGACAGACAGACAGACAGACAGACAGACAGACAGACAAAAATTTTACTGATTGCATTTTTGGCATCAGTATCGATCACTAATCACCCTCTGATAGTTATCAACCGACTTCAAAAAAGGAGGAGGTTCTCAATTCGACCCGTATGTTTTTTTTTTTTTCTATGTTTGTTACGCGATAACTCCGCCAATTATGAACCGATTTGAACAAATCTTTTTTCGGCGTATAGGTAATACCTCAAGGGTGGTCCCATTTAAATTTAATGATAGAAAAAACAACCCCCAAGGGTGGAAAATTGGGGACGAACTTTTTTATGCGCAATATTTTTAATTTTTAGTATTTTTTTGTGTTCACGCATTTGAAGTCGGTTTTATTTTTTTATTTTGAAAATACATATATTTCATGTACAGAATTGACCTCTCTACAGATTTATTATAAGTATAGATGTTCATTACATGTCAAATTTTCAATATATTTTCTTATTAATAATAAACAATTGCAGTATTAATAAGAAATAACTACACATCATGTCCAAATAAATTAATATTTACAAATAGAATTAATGTCAATTATATGTCAAAATAAATAGTAAGTAACAGTGTCAATAATAATTAAATTCCAAACAGTTCGTCAATTTTATAGAACGCCTGCTCGATCAACCACTTTTTTAATTGAAAGAAGAACGGTCACATCTGTGACCCAGGCCCGACAGAAACGAGACATACCTCAGTTTTTTTGTCATGTCTTAATTAGTTAAATTATATATTTTTTATATTCGAAATCTATGTATAACACCAAAATATTACCCTTTGTTTTTGTTCAGGCGTTATACAAAAACTAATACAAAATGCCTATTTATTTATCACCAAAATTGGTAAATGTATGTACCTAAAGTCTATTACAGCTGCTATGGAAGATTGTCTTTCATATTATAATTTGAAGAGAACTTTAAGGGTAATTTTTCGGGTATCCATTCTCGAGGCTACTTTTAGGGTAAGTAGTTATGCATGGGCGAAATAAAGCTTGCCACTACTTCGGGACACTTATCAGCTAGTGCTGAGATATAGCAGCAGAGGAAATTAAATGAAAAAAGTTGTGCGACCTATACAGGAAAAGCCAATGCACAGTTCCTATTTCAATATTTATTAATTTAATAGTATCTTTTTCCATAAAGCTTTTTGTACTTAGTGTCTACATCAACGCAGTGCGAGGTGCGTGCGCGCACGCGAGCGGGATGGGTGTGCGGCGCCAAGCGGCTGGCGCAGGATGGCTCGCAGTACGCCAGTTTCCGAGGAGTGCCTTACGCCAAGCAGCCCCTGGGAGAGCTGCGCTTTCAGGTCAGTAGATAATTCGTGCAATGCTCATTTTTCATAATAGTCTAACCATAATATAGAATTCCATGAAAAGACTATAATTTTTTTTTCTTAATAATTAAAAACGTACAAAATTCACAGGAACTTCAACCACTTGACCCTTGGATCGAGGACTTTAATGCAACATCCGAAGGGCCTGCCTGCCCGAACTATGATATCTACTTTGGCTCACTTGTGCAGCCGCAGAGCATCAGCGAAGCTTGCATCCATGCCAACATACACGTCCCAATAGATGCCCTCCCGAACACGCAAACTGGTGCGAGTACCAACTGTACTGGAGGGCTACCGATCTTGGTGTTCATTCACGCAGGCGGCTGGGTCTGCGGGTCCGGCGACGCAGACTTCAATGGACCAGAGTATTTGGTCAGCAGAGGTGTTATAATAATCACGTTCAACTACAGGCAAGTATTATGGACAATACGATTTTATATTCATTTATTTACTTTTTCCAATGCCTTTTAATCTGATCAAACATCATGAATGCAGCAGCATGCGTGTACATTACACAGCACACAGTAAACATTGATCTAATTAACTATGATTACATTTTGTAGGCTGGACTTTCTCGGCTTCTTGTCCCTGAACACGTCGAAGATTCCCGGGAACAATGGTCTGCGCGACATGGTGACCTTGCTGCGCTGGGTGCAGGCCAACGCGGCCTACTTCGGAGGCAACCCCGCCGACGTCACGCTGGCGGGGCTGAGCGCCGGCTCCGGCAGTGTGCACCTTCTGACGCTGTCGCCAGCCGCTGTTGGATTATTTAATCGGTTTGTATAACACTTTATTCATGTGATCTTGTTTTTAATTTCTTTTGTTGTAATTATAATCACAGAACACTCATATCCTTCTAGTGCGTTTCTTATGAGCGGTGTCGCTGTCCAGAGCTTCTACAGCGCGTCTCCTGTGTACGCTCAGCAAGTGGCTGCCCTCTTCCTCTCCGCTCTGAACATCACCTCCACGGACTACGACGAGGTCCACGACCAGCTTGTTGAATTGCCGATCGATGTTCTCAAAGCCGCCAGCAGGGTAGTGTTAGATCAAACTGGTTTAACTAGTTTCGTCCCAGTTGTGGAGACACCATATGCAAACTTTACGACAATCCTAAGCGAGTACCCAGAAACTCTGCAAGCTAACGGCAACGGGAAGCATATTCCGCTAGTTATAGGCTTTACCAGCGACGAGTGCGAGATGATTCGTCCAAGATTATCCGAGTTAAACGTTGTGGCTACGATCCAAGAGAATCCACTGATTGGGTTGTCTCCAGCGCTTTTATATAGTTTGCCATCGAACGTAACGGCGGAGATGGCGACGAAGGTGTTGGCAAGATATTTTAACGGGACCCCGACAATGGACGAGTACATTAAGTTGTGTACCGAGTCGCTCCTCCAGTACCCGGCGATCAAGCTGGCGCAGGCGCGCGCGGCCAGCGGAGGTGCGCCCGCGTTCCTGTACAAGTACGCCTACGAGGCCGAGTACAGCGTCATCAAGGAGGCGTTGAACCTCACATATTCCGGCGCCGGCCACACGGAGGACTTCAACAGAATATTCAAGGTGAACTCGTGGCCTGTACCTGCCAGTGTCGCCGATGAAGCTATGACAGGATGGATGACCGATATCTTGGAGACATTCATAAAGTATAAGTAAGTCATATTTTTTATGAAATAACATTATCTGACTTCGATTTTAATAATATCATTTTAATTAAAAGATTAAGGGTAACACGTCACATAGAGAACATCTTCCTTTTGTGAAGTCAGTAAAAGGTGTTACACATAGGTACTTTATTTTAGATGTTCTATTTAAATTACCAGCACCCCGTCGAGAGATGGATGTTGGGGAGCGGCATCATGTGCGCTGGAGTACAACTACATCGCCGGGCCCGCCACCGACTTCGGCGCCATGAGCGACTACGACCAGGAGATGGTCCACTTCTTCGACACCTTAGCCGATGTGTAGTGTACGAGTGTGACTACATTGACTAATATAATTAATTTATACTATGTATTTATTTATCTGGTCACAACTTTTTTGGTTCTCTCGTCTCCGCCAAGCGCCGTATCAATACGGCTATTCTTTATTTAAAATAGTCTAAAATTAGTCTAAATTTTGTTTAGTTCTGTTGTAAGATCTGGTTTATCTGTGTAATATTCTTAATTTAAGGTGGTTTAATTGATTATTTTTATATGCATATTGTGCTTACGTCGAGTAGGGTAAATCAGTGTGAATTGATTTTACATTCATTACTTACTTTTGCATGATATTTGATTGTACCCAGTTTTGTAAGCCAAATAAAAAAAATAAAAAAAACTGGTTGCAAGATATAAAAACAACTGTATTTTGAAGGAAAAGGACAAATTTTAATGAGCTTTTTTATCCTTTTTAACTATATGTATTATTACAACGTTACTTTGGTGGGCTAATAATATTCCGAAACTTAGAACCTGAGTGTTAGTTGACTGAATCAAACAGGGCTTATACGGTGCAAGGGAGTCGGAGCAAAGCAGCGGTGTCGTAAGGGCTATATTTCACCGGGACACCATGGCGGCGCAACCAGTCGCCGCTACCAACAAAATGTATGCAGCTATGCGCAACCAAACGGACACCAGGTGAGTAACTCTCTATAGAGCTGTATACATTTTGTTGGTAGCCGGCGACTGGTTGCGTCGCCATGGTGTCCCGGTGAAATATAGCCCTAAGAGTTAGTTCCGAAGAGCGGCGACGGCGACCGGTTGCCGCGCGACTATTGGCACCCCATGGTCAGAGTAGCAGCAGTTCTTATGGTTACGTTTATTTTTTATTGCAATCCCTAAACACAACCAAGGTGTCCGGCAACAACAGGCCCATGCTGAATGCTGCGCTAGGTGCAGACCAACGCACTGCTTTTCAATAGATAAAATCAAAAATCATACATCTTTTACAAAACACGTCAATTTTTTATCTAATAGGCCAGTCATATTTGATCAGTCGAGTCGAGATATTTTTGAGTAATACATTATGTTGTTAGGACCACTACCAGTACCATAATTTAACCAAGTTTGTAGCTTGGAAAGGCATGTGCTGCTGAGTAACACGTATGGACTACTAATGGATAGATATTTACACAAATAAGTACCTACTTGTGTTTTAACTTGTGATCAATATAAATAAATATGTAAGTAAAATGTTTTATTATTGCTACCTTTTTGCATTTGCAAATTTTCTCCACTTTAATAATTTCTAGTAATGCAATAAATCTATAAAAACAAGTAATGCCTACATAGTGCTTACTTGGAATGATATCATTTATTTGAGCAGTACACACAGCTGCAATTTTGTGTATGGTCATTACAGTAATTAGCTTTTCTTAAGGTTCGGCCAAACCAACGCGATCAGCTTGCGTGCGCGATTGCGATCAATGCGTTTAACGCTGGAAGAATGACGCAAACCAAACCAACGCGTAAAGATCGCGTCGGCGATGGCGATCACTGCGCGTGCATAGGCCAATGACAGGTCGCGCGTCCTGTGGCCATCGACGACGCGAGCTGCACGCGTTGGTTTGGCCGAATCTTCAGGGTTCGTTACATACTAGGGATGTTCAAAAAGTAATGATAATGGATACAGAAAGAAAAAAACATTCTTGACTCTCCAAAAAGTCCTAAAGAGGGCAGTGCTTTGACAATTTCTTCAAACATCAGGCCCCTGAACTACTTTGTAGGTACGTGGGAAAAGAAGAATTATAAACGTAGCTCAGCTACAGTAGCTGGAAGTCAGATCTAAAATAGGAAGGGTTTTTAAGCATTTTAAACCCAATTTTTTTTTAGCAGCCGCGTAGCCAAAGTAACTTCAGTTTTGTGTACGGGTGCGTAGGTCATTGAAAACAATGACTTTCCGACAGGTCGCATTCAGGTGAATGAAATTCTTAAAAGCAATGGTGTACGTACTCAATTGTTTTTACAGTTTCTAGTGAGGATTTATGCTTAGGTACCTACCCAAATTTTTCAGATTTTTGTGACGTCTAGATGTTATCATTAGTTTTTGAACACCTCAGCCAGGACCTACAACTTGATCTCCAATAAAAACCCCAGTGAAGGTCAAGTTTGTCCCGGGTACAGTTTAACTGGCATTGGATCTGCAACGAAATTAATCAGAAGAACATAGGAGTTCGAACTTAAGGTTTGAAGAGGTCAGTCCACCTATCGGTTCCCAACAGTATCTAAAGAAACAAAAATTAAAACAGATATTACTTTAAAATTAAGACACCGCAATTTTAGGTTGCATCTACACTAATATTATAAAGAGGAAAACTTTGTTTGTTTGTTTGGTTGTAATGAATAGGCTCAAAAACTACTGGATCGTTGTTAAAAATTCTTTCACCATTCGAAAGCTACATTATCCACGAATAACATAGACTAAATGTTATTTTGGAAAAAAATAGGGTTCCGTAATATATTTGAGTTTTTCGGATACAAGGTGTAAAAAATCAACCAGAAAAGTTACTTATTTTGCGTACGCTACCTAAACTATAAATAAAAGATAGAACCATAAAATGTTCACGGGTCCACTATAGGCTAGGTATATAATGCATGCAGTCCACGCGGGGGAAGCCGCGGGCGGAAAGCTAGTCTATGATAAAATGATCAAGTGGGAACCCTATTTATATAAATAAAAGTATACCAACTGGGGCTATCACTGTCTCGAGAAGTGTATTCAGTATCCAACAATATGGCTAGCCCAGCTGTCTTCGTCGCTGCTCTTTTTGTTGCTTTCGGTAAGTAAATAAAATAAAAAAAGCATTTAATTTGTTTAACAATGTTTCTGCATAATGTGTTTTTGCAGTCGATTCAATATTACATTAAAAATCTAGAATACCTCCTGCTTAACCTGCTTAGTGTTCTTTACAGTTTATTCAAAACGATTCTTCGATCGAATTTGAAACGAATAATTAGAAATCTATGGATGATTTTACGAGATTATTTTCAAAAGACTTTCTTAATTTAATATAATTGTAAATAGTGGCGGTGGCTACTACATCAAGGCAGTGCGAGGTACGTGCGCGCACGCGAGCGGGATGGGTGTGCGGCGCCAAGCGGCTGGCGCAGGATGGCTCGCAGTACGCCAGTTTCCGAGGAGTGCCTTACGCCAAGCAGCCCCTGGGAGAGCTGCGCTTTCAGGTCAGTAGGCAATTCGTGCAATCCTCATTTTTCATAAATTGTCTAACCATAATATGGAATTCCATGAAAATATTATAAAATACTTTTTCTTAATAATTAAAAAACGTAAAAAATTCACAGGAACTTCAACCACTTGAACCTTGGATCGAGGACTTTAATGCAACAACCGAAGGGCCCGCCTGCCCGAACAATTATATCTACTTTGGCCCCCTTGTGCAGCCGCAGGGCATCAGCGAAGCTTGTATCCATGCCAACATACACGTCCCAATAGATGCCCTCCCGAACAAGCAAACTGGTGCGAGTTGTACTGGAGGGCTACCGATCTTGGTGTTCATTCACGCAGGCGGCTGGGTCTGCGGGTCCGGCGACGCAGACTTCAATGGACCAGAGTATTTGGTCAGCAGAGGTGTTATAATAATCACGTTCAACTACAGGCAAGTATTTTGGACAATACAATTTCATATTCATTTATTTACTTTTTCCAATGCCTTTTTAGCTGATCAAACATTATGAATGCAGCAGCATGCGTGTACATTACACAGCATACAGTAAACATTGATCTAAGTAACTATGATTACATTTTGTAGGCTGGACATCCTTGGCTTCTTGTCCCTGAACACCTCGAAGATTCCCGGGAACAATGGTCTGCGCGACATGGTGACCTTGCTGCGCTGGGTGCAGGCCAACGCGGCCTACTTCGGAGGCAACCCCGCCGACGTCACGCTGGCGGGGCTGAGCGCAGGCGCCGCTAGTGTGCACCTTCTGACGCTTTCGCCAGCCGCTGTTGGATTATTTAATCGGTTTGTATATCACTTTATTCATGCAATCTTGTTTTTCATTTCTTTTGTTGTAATTATAATCACAGAACACTCATATCCTTTTAGTGCGTTTATTATGAGCGGTGTCGCTGTCCAGAGCTTCTACAGCGCGTCTCCTGTGTACGCTCAGCAAGTGGCTGCCCTCTTCCTCTCCGCTCTGAACATCTCCTCCACGGACTACGACGAGGTCCACGACCAGCTTGTTGAATTGCCGATCGATGTTCTCATAGCCGCCAGCAGGGTAGTGTTAGATCAAACGGGTTTAACTAGTTTCGTCCCAGTTGTAGAGACACCATATGCAAACTTTACGACAATCCTAAGCGAGTACCCAGAAACTCTGCAAGCTAACGGCAACGGGAAGCATATTCCGCTAGTTATAGGCTATACCAGCAACGAGTGCGAGATGCTTCGTCCAAGATTAGTCCAGTTTAACGCTGTGGCTGCGATCCAAGCGAATCCGCTGGTTGGGTTGTCTCCAGAACTTGTATATAGTTTGCCATCGAACGTAACGGCAGAGATGGCGAAGAAGGTGTTGGCAAGATATTTTAGAGCGACCCCGACAATGGATGAGTTTGTTAAGTTGTGCACCGAGACACTCTTCCATTACCCGGCGATTAAGCTGGCGCAGGCGCGCGCGGCCGGCGGGGGTGCGCCCGCGTTCCTGTACAAGTACGCCTACGAGGCCGAGTACAGCGTCATCAAGGAGGCGCTCAACCTCACATATTCCGGCGCCGGTCACACGGAGGACTTGAACAGGATATTCAAGGTGAACTCGTGGCCTGTACCTGCCAGTGACGCCGATGAAGCTATGACAGGATGGATGACTGATATCTTGGAGACATTCATAAAGTATAAGTAAGTCATATTTTTTATGAAATTATATTATCTGACTTCGATTTTAATACATAATATCATTTTAATTAAAAGATTAAAGGTAACACGTCACATAGAGAACATCTTCCTTTTGTGAAGTCAGTAAAAGGTGTTACACATAGGTACTTTATTTTAGTGTTCTATTTCAATTATCAGCACTCCGTCGAGAGATGGATGTTGGGCAGCGGCTTCACCTGCGCTGGAGTACAACTACATCGCCGGGCCCGCCACCGACTTCGGCGCCATGAGCGACTACGACCAGGAGATGGTCCACTTCTTCGAAACCTTAGCCGATGTGTAGTGTACGAGTGTGACTACAATGACTAATGCAAATAATCGTTACTATTTATCTTGTTTCAATAAAAAGATCTTTGTCCAGGATTGCCATTGATATTATTACTTGTTTTTTCGAAGAAAAATCTTTTCCATGATTTCATTGTTATCTGATATAATGTTAACGTTAGTTTGGTTGGCTAACAGTATTCTTTATTTTAGAAGCTGAGGTATAGTTGACTGAATAAAAAAAACTGCGTTTACAAATCCGACTTTACAAACTAAAAGGCACTAAAAAGTGCATTAAAAAGCATAAAAATAATTACGTTATTTATTTAGTATGACAAATACGAGTATGTATAACCATGATTGAGACTGACTCACGACGAGATAGGTTCCTT